ACAACCGATAAAATACAGCTAACTGAAAGAGATCATACACATAAATTTTGATTGCTATAGAATTCATGAAGATGAAGGGAAAAAAGCTTAACTCTAGGAAAAAAACACATCTCATTTTTAATATAAATATTTGGCTATAGGGCCCTCTTCTTTAAAATCATCTCTAAATCCCAGAGAGAAAAGCATATCAAGTATTTTCTCTTTTGATACATGAAAAGAAAACAAGAGGTGTACCATGATCAGCAATGAAGAGAATCACAAATAGACACAAAGTAATCAAGAAATGAAATGCCAGCCTTCACTGTCACAATTGGAGGGTCATCGACTGAAAAATAACATGATGAAAGCATCCCAACATAAAACTAAGATAATGACACTAACAAGAAAGAGCTCTAATGCATCACTTTCTCATTCAATAGAAGTCTCTAGTCTCCCCTTTCATCTTTCCCAGCAGGATAAATCACCTAAAAAAACTGAATCTACATTCCAGGATCAGACAAAGATGCAACCAGTAGATTTAATAAAGGGGAGGAAAAGCAAATTGATACAGATATAAACATAAGCAGTTTTTCCCTTTTTTCTTCCTCTACTCTCCTCTGCTTTCATGGTTACCACCTTGGGGTGTTATTATATTTGTGTTTTAGTTTAAGCTGCTACAAATCCTTTTTGAATGTTGAAGATATATAAATATGTAAATAAAGTTCTAAGAGTATTTGTCCTGACCATATATCAGTACCCCCAACTCCGTGCCATGACAAAACATCATATCCCCATGCAGAAGCACCATCCGCACTAAAAATACAAACCCCAGGATAAGAGAGGGATATGTGTTGAAAGCAAGAAGCCAGCTCCAGGTTAACCATAATTTGGGACATTTGGCTATTTGAAAAAGAACCCAGTGTCTACTTGATTTGAAAATGCCTTCAAAAAGCATTAAATTCATTTCATGTAGTATTTCAATCTGAAATACTATTCTTAATTATGGCAACTACTAATACAAGGGCTTAGGATATTGTTGCAACCTTTTGTAACCATGTCAAGTGTTTAGATGGTGTCAAGTGAATCTTCAATAACCTTCACTATAACAAATCTTAACTCTCCTACTAAATTATAAAATAATCTTCACCTAAAAACACTCTATGCTACACTTTTACAGCAGTATTGTCTGTGGATTACATTCATGTAACTAACCTAAGAAACAGCTTGTAAAAGCTATAGGAATGCCAAAGTTCTAAAAAATAATAATAACAAATATAAAATACCCTAGGTCTTAGGACTTATTTGCTATAGCAGTAAAGCAAGAAAAAACAATACATGTCATTATTACCTATTCTTTGGTAGATAAGACCATCACAAAAAAAGAGCTTAACCTTCCTTATGTACCAATATGGAAGCAGATGCTCTTTAAATTATCTAGACATTAATATAAAATATATTGGTTACAGATAAGTAAATGAGACTAAACTATGTTCTTAAGAGGGAAATGACTATGTGAATCCTATTAACAGTAAGAACAAGATCAACCTAATCAGGTCAAAGGTCAAAGGGCTACTTAGAAACTGTAAATCAGAGTAGCCAGAATCCCACAATTTAACACTCAATCTGTGATCCACAGTATTAAGGCTATATAAAGAGTTATTTTTTTAAAAAAATAGTCCATTCCCATCACTTTTGGAGAGAAGATAAATGAGAATTCAGCCAAACCTTTACAGGACTAAATTAAACCAAGCTTACTGAACCACAACCAATAACAAGTTAAAAACACAGGTGCCTTCGACATCCCTGATAAGCTCCATTTCTCACACAACGCAACCAAGCCGACGGCATGAAGGACATAGTTTTATAATATTTTAAGCAAAGGAAACTGCAGAAGGTAAAAGAAACTCTAAAGTAATCTGTTTCTTTGAGTATTAAGCTGATTATACAGCACTCATTCCTTTCACGCTGCAAATTTGAAAGTTTTACATCAGTTAAAAATGCTCATGCAGCTCACAATTTCAAAACAATTCTTTGCAAATATCCAACATATTTGGCCCAAGGTATGAGGAAATCATGTTCTATCAACATTATATTCTTACCTTACAAACTGTATCCACATCCCAAGGTATTATCGTCCTCAGATCAATGACTTCACAAGACACTCCAAGCTTTTCTTTTGCCATGGAAGCCACCTCCCGGATCACATGAACCTGAAATGAGGAGAAAAATACATAGAGAATGACTACAAAGATTCCAGCCTGAAAAAACTAGTTGAATTCCGACGTCACTAATAGAGATAGTGTTTAACGTTAGAGGAATTGATCTGCATGGAGATCATAAATTTGTTTTAGATGTGTTGAACTCCATATTCTGCCAAAATAATCAACTATACAGATGTTTAGAAAATAGTTGGAAAGAGTTTCTTAGAGACAGGGAGAGAAAGTGCTAGAGATACTGATTACAAAGATAGCATACAGAGGTAAATAAAACAACAACAGAGAGAGCTTCTAGGGGAAACATGCAGAGAAAGAAGCAAAGGGCAAAAGTCATGGAATCCAGTAGATCACCAACATTTAAGGGGAAAATGGAGGAAGAGGAGCTCACTTTAAAAAAAAAAAAAAAACAGTTAAAGAGATAGAAAGAAAACCAGGAAAGAGTGTATCCCAGAAGTTAAAGAAGAAAAGATTTCATAGAAATAGTAGCTAATATCAAATACCATAGCATTATGGGATAAGGGCTGGATGTAACAATTAGAAGATTAGTGATATTAACAAAAACAGTTTTAATAAATCAATGGGAACAGAACTTATAGGTACAAGAAAATAAGGAAATTAAGGAATTAAATGTAGACAGCAGAAAAAAGTTGTTTAAATGCAGTGATGAAAGGAGGGAGAAGTAATGGTATTCAGGAGAAAGATATTCTTTAGATAGTAAAGAGATACATACTTTTTTAATAAAAACAATCTATTTAATGGAATAGAAAACTGAAAATACAAGAGAGAGAGAGAGAGGGACTAGCTAATGGATCACAGTCCTGGAGAAGGTAAAATGGCACATAACTTCAACTGGAGAGACAGCTACCAAAACCAGACACCTCTTCCTCACAGACAAAGAGAAGAAGGAAAAGATTAGCAGCAGAAGTGGTAGGTGTGAAGGAAGAGCAAGTTATGCGAGTTAGTATCTAATACACTCTAACCGCCCCATTAAAAAGAGTAACAAGGTCACATACTAAGGGTGACAGAGATGTGCATTTAAAAATGGACTCAAGGAAAGCCAAAAAGGTTCACTACAACCACCATGGGCACTGTCAATGGGATGTGACCCACCACGCAACACTGTTAACCCACTGCAGGTAGGAACCATGAGGACTATAGCTCCCCAAGCCAAAAAATCAAGTGGAGAAGAGAATAAGAGCTTGTGAGATTGCAAATGATTTTTGGTTATTTTCTTTGCACTATGCTGCCCTAAATTTTCTGAAATAAGCAAGTATTTACTTTATACATAAAAAGAAAAAAATCTCCATTTCTTTAAAAGGAAAGATAAAAGTGTAAGAGATAGAAGTCTACAGCTAGAGAAAAAGAGTCCTGAAGTTGAAGATAGAGCATGTGACAACAAGACCTGGGGAAAGCTGAAGTGCATCAGTAGAGAGGGTCACTGGAAAAGAGAAAGGTACAGAATTCTAAGGCTGGACCATGGGATGGGTCCATATGGCCAGCAAAGTAATCATGAGAAAAGATAGGAAATGGGATGAAAAAGAAAATTGTAAGTCAAGTGCAGCAAAACTAACAAGGATATATAACATGTGCTTCAAAACACAAGTGTTTTCAATGAATACATTTATGTTTTATAACATTTTTGATGACTTCACCGTATGCTTACATATTTTAATATGACTGAATGGGTACCTCACCGTCACTCAGAAATCAGTACCACACACTTCTAATTATAAGATGAGTAAAGTTCTAGGGACCTAATATACAGTATGTTGACTATAGCTAATGATATCATATTGTTTACTTTAAATTTGCTAAGAGAGTAGATCTTAAGGGTCCTCACCATGCACATGCATGCACATACACACACACACACACACACACACACACACACACACACGAAATGATAACTGTGTGGTGATGGATGTGTTAATTACATTGTAGTGATCATTTGATTACACATATATCAAATTATGTTGTATGCTTTGAACAAATATAATTTTTATTTGTCAATTACATCCCAAAGAAGTTGGAAAGAAAAAAGATCAGCATCAGTACCACCAAGCAGACTTAATTTGAGATATAAGGAAACATCGTTTTCGATTCTTCATGTATCAGGATTATAAATGGGAGTTTCCAAGATAACATGGGCTTTAATAGTTGGAATCAATGCTACTGACCTGAGTGCCCCAGGCAACCAGGGTAACATCACTCCCTTCCTGTATGACTTCAGCCTGGGACAGGGGGATGTTGTAAGGTTCTATTGGAACCTGTTCCACTAAATATATAACAGGAAAAAAAAAATAAGAGGTTAATTATTTTTTCTCATGTGACATTTGTGCATAAAAGAATGTAAGGACCTCATTGTGGCCAAGCTTTATTTCAGTTATTTTTCCCCAAATTCCATAAGTTATTTAAAACAGAAATGGCATTTATCACATGGCTCCATGACATTACTACACAGATAAACAAGTTTATTATCAGCTATCCT